TATTAGGTTTTGTGAATAGAATTTTTATATCAAAATTATATTTTTTAATCAAATTTTTTTTATCTATTAAATTAAAGGTAAGAGATATAAATGCTAAAATTCAACTCGGACTTTATATTTTTTTAAAAAATTTTAATTATTAGTTCAAAAAGCTGAAAATGTTATATAACATTTTAATTTGATTGAAAAATTTTCTCTCGCGGTAAAAATATTATCCATCAATATCAAAAATCAAATTCAAATCTTCCTCTCCATAAAGTTCTTTTACATTTCGCCTTAAATCTTTTTTTTTCACCATTTTACCTAAAAAATTATTATTTTAGATCCATTTTAATCCTTCATTATCCAACAAATTAGATGTTAAACTGATGCCCAAACTGATAGGCGCAAAGATGCCCAAACTACTTCAAGTCATAAATGTGCAATTATATTTCATACAAATGCTTTTGTTTTTTCGCTTTTTGTAAAAGACTTTTTCAAACGATCTTAAATTTTTTTTTATTGACTTGAATGTATTTTAAGTATTTTTATAAAAATTAAATATTATTAATAAAAATATATTTTTTTAGATTAACATTGATATTTTAAGGATTGTCTGGTCTTTGAGAGTAGAATTTCTTGTCGAAATTTTATTCTTCATAATCTGATATTTTAGTTTGGTTGAAATTATTTTTTTATGTCGAAATCTTATATTTTTAATAATGTAAAAAAAAAAAAAAATAAGAGGGAATCTTTAAAATATTTTTTTTTTATTTTTTATTTTCATTTTTTAAAAAATCGTTTTTATTTCTATTTTTTATTTTTAAAAATATATTTGATAAACGACAATAAAATTTATTCTTTAAAAATACAAAAAATAAATAAATAAATAAAATATTTAATAATATTACTATTAATGGCATCTAATTATAAATATAATATATATTTATTAATTAATGACATTACAAAAAAATTTTAAATATAGTAACTTGTTAAAAACATAAGGAAAAAATTAAGTAGATCTTTTATTTTCATAACTGAAATTATTTTTTTATTTTCATATTTCTCTTCATTTTCATTTTTAATTTTTAAAAATTTATTTTCATTTCAATTATCAAACACACTTTCCACTCATATTTTTTATTTTTTAAAAAATAAAACTAAAAATAATTATATTTTTTGAACAAAAACACTACCTAGATAGTCTCGTCTCTATAAAATTTTTCTTAACATTTCGCCGACCAATTTGACAGATGCAAAGATATCCCAATCCTAATTCTTAATGCAAAGGTATCCCAATCCCAATTCTTTAATGCTTGGCTACGCCTAAGGTTAAATTTCTTTTATTAATAGAAGTTATTTTAGATTTTATTTGTATTATATTTTTGCTTTCGAATTTTTTAGTAAAATATAATAATTAATAGGTAAAATTGTATATTTATAAAAAAAATTAATTATTTGAAATTAAAGTATATTTATTATTTTTTAATAATTAAAAATTTATTGTTTTGAATAAAATACTAAAAAACCTTGATTTTTTCATTTTTTTAAATAAATCTTATATTTTTTGTACTGAAAATTTTATTTATATTAAAGATTATATTTAAATACAAATAAAATATTAAGTGTTCATTTTTATTAAAAGTTAAAGGTTAAGAACTTATTTAAATGATAAAATAAAGAATTAAGATATTCACATGTTATCTCCAATCTGTATTTTTAACCTTTCATTTTTTTTATTTTTTAATTAGATAATTTTTAGAAAAAAATATCGATGAATAAAATAAAAAATAAACAATTTTACCTACAACATCACGTGGAACATTTTAACTGGTATACTTATTTAAAAATTTATAACCAAAGGAAAGAGTGCAAAAATTAAAATAAGAAAAAGAGGAAGCACAAACGAACATCCAATCTTTTGCAACCGACCAATTCCAAAACTCATTAAACCCAACACACAATTATTTAGGTGTGACCGATATCATAGTCTGTCATTACAAGTTATCGGGTATAGTTTGGACAAAATTTAAGTTTGATTCAATTATTATTGAATTAAGTTTAAGTAATTTTGAGTAATTTGATTTATCGAACGAATCAAATTTAAGTATTTTAATGTTTTACTTGAGTAATTCATGAGTTTACTCAAATTTTTATATTCAATATATATTGTTATTATTTTAATTAGAAAGTTATAATTTTACTTTATATATATCAATTCGAGCTTGAATTCAAATATAAATAATCAAATTTGAAATCGAGCTCTTTTTATTTAATAAATAAATTTAATCAAATAAATTTAAATAATTTGATTTTTATCTTCAATCAAATTCAAATTTAAAAGTTAAAATTTAATCGAGTTTCAAGTAACGAGTTTTGAATTTCTCACAATATTAACTTAACTTGATTACATTCCTAGCATCACTCATGGTAATTTCCATATAACTTTTTTTCTTTAATTTTTTAGTCTACTTATGATACTTACCTATGGGGAAGCCATTATACCTTAAATCGTGACCACCTTTCAACTGTAGTAAACCTCATGCCGATTGAGCTAAGCTTAATTAGCATCATCTAATCCATGGAAAAAAGGAAGAATTTATAATACAAGTTTTTTATTTATAAAAATCAATATTACTCTATATAAAAAAAAATCCCTTAAGAGGTTCTAAGTTTACATGTATACCTTTTTTTTCTTTCGTAAAACGTTTTTAGTTGACAGGAAATTAGCCAAGCAGAAATGAAGCTACCACTTAACAATGGACCACTTAAGCAGGCTGACATGTGTATTTTTTTCAAAGCTTTTTTTTTTCTTTTTCATTATTACTGGTATTAAAGGTGGTTTGAAGGAAGGAAAGCGTGATAGATAGACTTCGCTGGTATGTTTTTGTTGTTCTTTTTTTCTTCTTTCGTTTTTTTATGCTTTTTTGAGTAAATTTTTTTTGCATTTTTTTTGTTTAATTGAATCTTTCTTTTTTTTTTTTTTTGGTTATGTTGGGATGATTTTAGGATTATAAACTTCAATTTTGTTTAATGAAGTTGAATTGTTGAATGGGGTTTGGGTTTTTGTGGTTTTTTGTTTTTTTATTGAACAATATTTTTTTCAGTGTTATGTTTTTTTTTATTTTTAGTTCGTATAAAATATTTGTTGTGAGATTTATGTTATTTTAAATATATTTTTTTTGAAAGATTTTGTTTTTGTATGTTTTGATCTTGATGACAATCAGTTTTTAGTTTTTTATTTTGTTTGATAATGCTTTCTTTATTGGTATTGTAATTGTTTTTTATGAAATATAATTTTTTAAATGGATA